ACCTCCAAAATTCAAGTTTACCTTCAACTCCCTCTCTAGTCTTATCAACAAGAAGAATATCATCAGCAAAAAGCATACACTAAGGTACATCCTCTTGCAAATGTCTAGTGAGAACATCCAAGACTAAAGCAAAAAGATATGGGCTTAAGGCTGATCCTTGATGTAACCCAACCGAAATAGGGAAATACTTGGTCAATCCACCTTGTGTTTGAACACAAGAAGGACATCATAAAATTTTTACAAATCCTTAAAAAAATTTTGAAAAACTGCACTTGAGTTCAAGCTATCGAGTCTATAAATGAGTCAAGTTCCAGCATCTTATTCAAGTTCGGGCTAACGAACCGAGCTCAAGCTGAAATTAAAAGATGCAAGCTCGAGCTTGTTGGGGCGCAAGCTCGACTTGACTTGTTTACACCCCTAGTAACACTTCCTTCTACAGTGAATTTTGATAGACAAATAAATATCAATGATATATGAGAATTTTCAATTTCAATATATTTGCATGATAAAATCACTAAAGCTTCCCCTTAATTGGGTTAGAATCCAAATATAAAGCTACAAAAAGAAGGATGTTATGAGGGAAAGATACCTTATTTGATGAGGACATCACCAGAAGATTTCGACCCATCTACCATAGAAGGAATCATAGATCGACAGCTACGATTCAGAGTCTCTATTTTTGATGCATTTATGTATTTCTTTTATTTACATTTCAATTTTACCATTATACCCCTATGAGGGATTTCTTTTATGTTGTAGCCCCGAGGGGATTTGAGTCTTTTTATTTCTCTCTTATTGTGAGACCTATATATAGAGGTCTCCATTATTGTAAGAGGTTAATGATTAATTAATGAAAATTTCAGCTTTTGGTTCTTTGTTTTCTTGTGAGCTCTTGAGAAAAGAAAGAACCCTAGGAGAGGGCCAAGCATCACCTGTCAGCCGCCGGTAGAGGTCAGGCTCGCAGTTCGTACCCGTTGTTATTTTAATTTCCCCTTCCTCGTCTTCCCCCCAACGGCCAACCCTTCCTTCTCTTCCAACCCGTCGGCCTCCCTCATCCCCACCCCAAACCACCGGTCAAATTTCCCCTCCACCTTCTCCATAGCCGGCCTCCCTTCTCCCATCCAACCTACGACCCAAACCCAACCACTGATTCCCTACCCCACCAAACCCAAGACCCACCGTCCCTCCCATAGCCGCCAGCCTATCTAGTACCAAGCTTTTGATTTCAAATTCGAATTGCCTCCTAATCACTTTCCTAAATTATCCAAGTATTGATTTGGAAAGATTCTTAATTTGAATTCAAACATATTTGAATTTCAAATCCTTAGCTAATTGATCAATCTAATTTAGGCAACCTCCCTTAATCACTTTAAATCTGAAATTAATTCAGATTTGATCCTCCAATCAATAATTAATGCAACGGTCCACATACATCGAATGTGGATACCCTTTCCCCTCCTTCCTTTGGCCGTCCCACTCCCTATCATTTTCTCTTTCCAATTAATTCCCTCCTTCTATTAATTAAGACCCATTAATCCGCCAATTAGCCGTCGCCCCCTCCTCTCTCCAATCTCACTTAATTCATCCTCCCCCCCCCCTCTCCATTAAGGGAGATTTGAATTTCAGAAACTTCCTCCTTTTCCCCTTAAAATTTGAACTAAATTTCCAAATTTCAATTTTACTTCCTCTCCTCTCTCTAACGCTAAAGCTAAACTTGAAGGTGTCTCCCTAAGCCTTGGCCAAAAATCCCACTCTCACCTGTTCCCCTTCTCTTCTCTTGTCCACTTCTTCATATACCTCCAAAGGATAAGCTTCGCACATCGGCCTCCTCACCATGAATGGTCAACCCTGAAAGAGACCACGGCTTCATATATGATCTTCAAGGACGAGTCGATATCCTTCGGTCTCCCTTCTTCAACCTCGACTTGGAGATCGACGACACTGTCGACGACTACGTCGACCGAATCCTTTTCATCTTGACTTCTACCATCGAGGAACACCAAATCTCCGGACAGTGGCAAATCATCAGACACCCACCAACTTCCTCCCCTCCGGCTAACTTCTCATTGGGTGATGTTGTAGGCGTTCTCTTTCTTTTAGTGGCATCTCTTGGTTTGCTGAAATTATTCTCCCGCTGACCCCACCATCAAGAGTGAAAGTGAGAGGAACTCGAGGTGAACTGTCTATTTGTTAAATGGTGGATTTTGTTATTTTGTATCTAGAGTTACTACGCTTTTGTTCTTATTTTAAAATTGTCATGTTAATCTTTCTTGTAACTGCATGCCAAAGCACAATTGCAACTAAGAAATCCTAGACAATCTTGGTGAAACATTGAGTTTAAAATTATCAAAGCTTATCAACTTGTTATTAATTCTTAAGCAATTTATGTTTCCATATATGTTTCACATCATTATTCTAGTGAGCCCTCTAGCTAGGAGAACTAATAGTCGGCAGCCATCTTTCATGGCTAAACAGACAAAAGCGGAAAAAAGAATAAGGAAGAAGAACATGAACTAGGGCAATAAACCATCGTTTCTCGACACAGAAGCTCAAAACATGTCATCTCGATCGGTGACCGCATATACCTCCAAAAACTTCACTGGATTTGCAATTTCTCATCACTTTCTCTAACTCAAGATCTCTATTTGTCACTTCTTGCCTGCACTAGCACTCACATCTTTCTCCTCCCTGAGCTCCCTATATCTGCTTGATACTAATACAAGAATGATGTGTAAATGGGCTAGGTTGGGCTATCGGGTCCGAACAACCAAAACTTATATTCATTTTTACCATCATAAGATTTAAAGTACAATATAATTAATTAATTAATTAATTTCTTAAATTTCATCCTTGAGTTCACGATAGCAATAAATGTCATTATAATATTCAATTCATTCGAATACTGCTCAAATTCATCTTTCATGTTTGTGGTCATTTCCATGATAAAATAATTAAAAGAAAATGTCCATCATCCAAAATCTTCTTTAATATGCATATTTGTGATAAAAATAACTTTGATGAAGGGTGCTCAATACCTGAAATTATTTTTATAGCTTCGTTGAAAAAACCCAAAATATCAAATTTATTTCTATTTTATCTTACTCCTACATAGAACAATTATGATAACAATCTCTCTCTCTCCTGGTATGAAAAGAAAGTTTCCCTCAACTTAAGTGTCAACATCTTATATATTAAATTCCAACATGTTAGACAATTCATAACAAATTTTTAGTAGGTAACTGCAATTATTATACAACTTCAGCAAAATTAAATAACTTTGCTTCATATGTATTTATGAAACTTATTGAATTACAAATTTTATCAACTACATGCACAATTATTTTTATCACATTTTTAACCATCAAATTAAACATATGTGTATAACATTGCACATAATATAGCCTCCCTCAAAAAAATAATTTCTTTCTCACAATGACATGTGTCTTTTGAAAATTTAATTTCCACATTTTGCAGCATTGTCAACTGATATTATAAATATTTTGTTCAATAGTCCTTATTCATTGATTGATTTATAGCACATATAAATAGTCTTAGATGGTGTATGTGGAGGAGACAAGTGCAAAAAATCTAAGAATACTGTTCTAGAATAATCTCCAAATTTGAATTCATCTAATGTATAATAATAACCATGTATCATAATCTTTGATTTCTTTTACTTCCACAAATCTATAATAAATTAATTATGTTTATATCTCTCAATACAAACTGTAAATTTTTTTTCATATACTAACATAATATCATCACGAGCTGTTGTTCTTTAATATTTCATGAAATAAGACAACATTAGCTTCAAAACTAGGTTGAAAGATTCTTTCACAACTGAAAAATGATTTTCCAATAATCATAATATAATGTACGATCATTTTTCTAACTTTAAATTGATCATATTTGAATGTTCTCAAACTAACAATTTTTTTAGAATTGCCAGGTATGTCGTATGGATGTAATGTCCTTTGATTGAAAATGTTAAATTTGTTGATTCGTTAAAGCATAGATTTTAGTTGGACAACGCTATAAGTCCTTCCTGAACTGTGTGGTACACTTGTATTCACTAAGGAATTTTGCAGTTACAACATTTCACTTTTCTTTGACCTTATGTAAGTTTCCTAAATTCATCTCAAACTCTAGATGTTTTTTTTTTTCTTTTTCTTTGTTTCTATTGGATTGTCGCCAACATTTTCTCAATTTGTTCATCAACTTGGCCTTCAATGCCCTAATTTTCTCTCTCGTAGTTATCATTGTCATTCAACAAATAAATTTCATATTCAATATATGACTACACTTCATCTACATAATCTACAATCTCTAAATTTAATAACTCACTCATGCTATCTTAGACGAAGAACTCTGTTGATATTCTATATATGTAAATGAAAATATCATTAAAATAATATAATTCAAAAAAATTATTGAATTTTAACAAGATAAATTATACAATCAAATGTAGATTCTAAATAAGATATAATTATAGTGCTAAAAATTTCAATGCAACCTAATGTATCACTGACAAAATTCATTTGTCAAAAAAAAAATCATTTTTTTATAAAATCAAGTTACAAAATGGCAAAATATCACTGAAAAACTTCCCTTCACTTTCATTCCCATATGCATCCAACAAAACTCCCTCATATAAGAGAATTTTTTATATTAAGAAATTGATCCCTACCAAATTGTAGCTTGAATATGTATGAGTCATCTCAGAAGTTGATTAACAATATAACTGAGAGTGGAAAATCTTCAACAACAATTACATAATATAATAACAGAGATAAACCAAAAGATAATGCTTCATTTGTTACTGGAAAACATTCACAGCTTACAAGATCAATAAACTGTCGTAAGAGCATTCAAAAAATAATCAGATGAATAATCCCTAACCAACAAAAGCATCAGTAGGTCACAAATAAGCAAGGAAAGATCGTAAGAAATAAAATCATTAAGCACAAATTAATTTATCTTCAGAAAAAAGGCATTCTCACCTCAGAAATTTGCCTTGAGGAAGAATATGAACAAGCCAAACTCCTCGTCGCCGGAACTGAAGCCAAAGCCTGAGGGGCTGTTTGGTATCGGATTTACAGAGGGATTTAAGTCGGATTTACGCTAAATCCAGACAAACGGTTTTTGTGCGCGCGTTAAATCCCGGCTATGGGTAAATCCCGGAATTAAGGATTTACAGCTTAAATCCCGGATTTACTAAACCTCGGTTCTGCGGATTTATGGGATTTGGCCGAAGAAGCGCGCGAAAGGTAGAAAGTTACCTTCACAGCCAGCGAGCTCCCGTTGTTGCTTCCGATCAAAATGTCGTAAATTCCGATCCGACAGGAAGGGAAAGTCGTCGAAGGAGCGAAGTTGAACAGACACGAAGAAGGCGGAGAAGCGACGCGTGCAATCTCTACACCTCCTGCGAAGCAACCAAGCTGAACAGCAACGACGAAAAAAAAAAAAAAGAAAAGATGAGGTAAACCCTAGACGCCTTTAAGTAATTATTGATTAACTTAATTAATATAATTTAAATTATTAATAATTAAGTTGTCAAACAGCTCCTGAGTCGGTCTCGAAGTAGATGCTACAAGAAATGAGGAAATTTAGGGTTCTCAAAGGAAGAGTGGAGAGCATGAGAGACAAAAAAAAGCCAAGAATCTGAAGGAATTTCTGACTTGCGGCAATGCGGAGACGGCTGGCGAAGAAAAATGAGAGAAATGCCTAGAGGTAGAGGTGGATCGTGCAGCAAAACGAATTAACGAAAATAAATACCTTGCATTAGCTTATTTTTTTCTTCTCCACAGCCATCATTTGACCGTACTCTGCAGTCCGGAGTTCCTATTCGAGCCGCTTGACAAGCAGGAGTCGGACCACCACTGAACTATTGGCACGAAAAAAAAAACTGCTTGGGCTCGATAAACTTGGCTCAGCAACTCGACCTTAGAGAGTCAAATCTGAGCAAACTCTTAGGTATGTCAGGCTTAACTTGTTTGCACCCCTAATTTTAAACATGTTGACTTTAATTAAATTGATAGAAAATAAGTAAGAAAATTTTACATAAATTTATTATTTCAAATAGAATTAATTTGTAATTTAAATAATAAATATTAAGTAATTAACTATAAATTTTAACTTAATATAATGTTTAATTTAAATTTATAAATAATGATAAATATAAGGCAATGGTTATGCGTCAAGTAAAAATATTAGTGTATATATATATATATATATATATAAGTGATAGTTAAGTGATAGTTAAGTGATAAATAAAATAATTATATTTATCAAAATGAAATTTAATAAATGCATTGTTTTCAAATTAAAATTTAAAGCTTGTATGATATGAAAGTTAAGTATCAAAAAAAAGTGTGCTAGATTGTTCTAAATCATAGTTATATCATGTGAGTTAATCATAAAAATTATTTGAAATTAAATATAAAGTGTTCATTGTTCCCTGTGACAATCATTTTTTAAATCATATTGTAGCGTCCTAGAATGTTCGCGGCGATAGAGAAATATATAGTTTAACGTTTTAGCTTTGAACAAAGATCCAGCACACAATCAGATAAGAGGATGGTGCAACATTCATAAGAGACGCCACAATTTTTACGTAGAAAACCCTAAAAATGAGGAAAACTATGGGGCTCAGCCCAATTTGAACGAATCCACTAGTATTTGCAATTGATTACAAATGAAGCCCTTCATTGGAGGGAAGGCATTGGCTTGATGTAACAAATATATGTCATATAGAGTGTGTTAAATGATGAAAATATGAAGAATCACTGTTAACGTATTCGTTTGGTCGGAAGGACCATAGTCGGTGGGCGACGGAGGTCGGAAGGACCATAGTCGGTGGGCGACGGAGGTCGGAAAGACCGTAGTCGACGGGAGACGGAGGTCAGAAAACCATTATCTTGCGATAGAGGTCGGAAGGATCATAGTTGGCGGGCAACAGAGGTTAGAATGACTCAATGACCATTATCTTGCAATAAAGGTCAGAATGACTTTAGTCGACGGGCAACAAAGGTCAGAAAGACTGTAGTTCGACGAAAGTCCGATGACGGGTGAAAATTCAGCTCCGTGTAAAAGTTCGGCTACCGATAGAAGTTCGGCGGTAGGTAAAAATCCGAAGAAATTTTGGTGACTGGTAGGAATCCGGTGACAGTCAGAAGTCCGGCATCTGGTAAAAGTCCAATAAAAGATTGGCGATTGGCAGAAATCCACCGATGGGCGGAAGTCCGACATCGAGTAGAAGTCCGGCAAAAGTCTGGTGACTGGCAAAATTCTGGTGATGGGCGGAAGTCCGGAGTCTAGTAGAAGTCCGACGAAAGTCCGACAAAAGTCTAGCGACTGGTGGAAGTTCGATGTCGAGTATAAGTCCAGCGACGAGCAGAAGTCCTACGACGCGCGAAAGTCCGGCGTTGGGTATAAGTCCGATGAAAGTCCGGCGACTGGAAAAAGTTTGATGACGGTCGGAAGTTTGGCATCAGGTAGAGGTCTAGAGACAGTCCAACGACTGACACAAGTTAGATGATGGGCAGAAGTTCGACGTCGGTAGGTGGTCAGGAGATGGTCGAGGAGGAATCGGGTGGCAAGAGACCTCTTTCTTCTCTTGCTTCTCTCTTGCTTGGGCCTCCTTCTCTCTCCTTCGGTCCCTCCTCAATGAAGAATGAGGGGTTTATTTATAGTTTTCTAAGAGTTGCATTGTCAGTAAATAGGAGGAATATCAAGGGTAAATTGGGAGTGGTTTGAATGGGCGATCGATGTTAAATCCCTTAATTATGGATCATTTATTGGGCATTTGGATGTCTTAATGATATTAAAATTCGGCTATATTGGGCTCATTAGATTCGTCTCGTTGAGCCGCTCGATTCGACTATAAGCATTTCATGTTTGGAAATCATTTGATAATCCAAATTTTGGTTTGAACCTTCCAAATGTGCTTCGGGTGTTTGATTTAGACTCATTTGGTCTCAGATTGAGTTGAGTTTGGTGTCGTTTGGTTTGTATTTTCGAGATGTTCAGTTCGGCTGTAAGTTTGTTGAAATCAGAGTGGAGATGGTCTATAATTTAATTTTTTTAAAGTTTCCAACTTGATTTTGCTTCGAGATACGTGCTCGATCTGCATAATTTTTTTATGATGTATCACATATGAATTGGATGGTACATATAAGGAACTAGTTGAAATCCTTATGATGCAAGGGAAAGATAAAATTTTTAAAAATAATGTGAAATGTCATGTGTATACATTGTAATATCTCCAAATGTGAACATGAAGAACTAATGGTTGAGATTGGACAAGGGTTCTAAAATATTTATGAGGTGGAGAATGAACGTGCCTCCATGTAACTTTATTCCAAGATAGAGGGTGAACTCTAATATGCAAGAAGTGTTGGGGGAGATGAGTAAACACCAAAAAGATAAAACAAGTAAGAAAGTAAAAGCAATGGAAAAGTAAAGGACCATAGTATTTAACACGTAAAAATTTAAAATAGGAAAACCCCCACGGAGCCACACCACACTAAGAAATTCACTATGAAAATTAGAAGAAATAAGTAAATATCCCTCTTCTCTCTCACGCTCTCCATCTCTTCTCACATGCATTATTCTCACACTTGTCCTAATTGAAAATGCAAGAGAAACCCAAGCAAAATAACTCTAGGGAACTCAACCCTTCTGAAAATGAGAAAGAAAATTGTCTAGTCTGTCTCGCAGTATTGCGGCGCCAGTTTGGGATATTGTGGCACTCAAGTATTTGTCTTGCACTGTTCCAACGCAGTATCTATACCGCTACGGCGCCTGCTCTCTATCTTCCAACGCTAGGGTGTTCGTGCACATAACGTCGGGCGCTCGGGTACATGGAGTCGGGGCGTTGTGCAAAAAAATTTGCACCCAAGCAGGGGTAAACCCCTCGCACCCCTAGTGAATAGAACAAACTTTGACGTTCGAAACAACAGAATAACCAAATTGATAAACACAATCAGACTTCACACATAACAAGAATGTTATAGAAAATAGAAAAGATATAAGAACCTAGAAGAGACAACACAGTAAATTTAATTGGTTTAGGTTGTTGATAAATATCCATTATGGGAATTAAGATGGGATGAATTCACTATTCTCAATAAATACATAGAAGAATCATTCTCTCCAAACATCATCCTTTTTAAGGTTTTATGTATTCAATTTCAACAGTCTTGTAAATTTTCAAGGTGTGTTATAGGGGTGTCAATTTTGGGTCACGGATCGAGTTTGGATCAAACTCGGAATTGACCCGGCACTGTTCGGGTCAACCCGAACCCAACCCGTTTATACAAATGGGTCAGTTTTTCGGACCCTAACCCGACCCGCTTCGGGTTCGGGTCAACCGAGATGACCCGCTAAATCGATTTTGATGGGACGAATCAGAGGGGGACAGCTTAGGATGACGACAACTACTGACGAAATGGACTCGACAGACATTGGAACGGACGACGGAATGCCGGAACGGGACGGGAAGAGCAAGAGGCAGCGGCAGACACGACGTGGAGGTCGAGCCAGCGGCAGAGTACACCTGGACTCTCCCGAATAGTAGATGGCGAAGAGAAAGTGGTGACTGTCGGTGGGACCACGGGATGACGCGGAGTTACGGACGCCTGGCTTTCTGGCTGACGCGACTTAACGAGACGCAGACGGCGGTCCGCTGAGCTGAAGCGATGCCTGACTCGATGCGAGATGACATGGAGTCTCGTACTGCGGACGGCTGAGCTGACTCGGTTTCCCATTTTCGGGTTAGTACGGGTCAATATCGGGTTTTCGGGTCAACCCAGACCCGACCCATCTTTTCAAACGGGTCAAAATCTTTAACCCGAACCGTTTCGGGTTGACCCGAACCCAAAATTTTCATGTCGGGTTTGAGTCGGATTTTTGTGTCATGTCAAATATTGACACCCCTAGTGTGATAATATTTTAAAACAAGATAAATAACATTTGTATTTGGAGTATCAGGGTTGAGATGGTACTAACACTGATATTGATGTGCAAGACATGGGTGACCAGTTCTGACTATGATGGATAATATGACCCATGTAATAGAATTGGAAGTGATTAGACCTCAATTTGTGGTAGTCATCATACAATCGAATGATTGGTTAGTTGTTTCACCAAAGTGCAACTTGGAGACATGGAAAAGAGTCATTCTAATGGTAGACAACATTATTTGTGTGATGCCCCAATATCTAAATTGAAAAGAATTATATCTTTTTATCTTCTTAATTTTCAATGAGAGCTTATTAGTTTTATAAACAATGAAAAATATAAATTTAATACTATTCTTCCAATTTATACACATATTCCATATCCAAAATATAACATATATAATAGTCATGACATTCAACAAAAATAACTCATCACCAAAGGACATCATAACCACAAAAATAATGAACTAACATAAATATAAAGAAAATTTAAAATTGTCATTCATA